CCAATCGCAGGCCGTTATCAGAAAAACACTAAAAAAACAACACCAAAGTACAAATTACGGAGAAGAGGGTAATACCGATAGATAGGGGAGAAAATATCTATCCAGAGATACCACTTAATTCACCGAAGGAGAAGGATACTGCGACCAACATAAAACGAAGGATACAAGACGGATCGAGGGAAAGGAAAAAAAGAAAAGAACGACGAGAACATAAAATAACGAGATCGGAGGTAACACCATCGGATAGGGGATGAAAATACCTATCCATAGACACCATCCACGACCTAGTCGAAACAAGAGAAGAGAAGTTACCACCGGAAACGTAGACGCGGATGAACCGATTACGCGAACAGTTCACTAGTCGTGATAAATTCAACTTCTTCAGCTTTCACATCAACTCTAAAGACATCAATCAAACCATATAAAAGAACTGAATAGAATTTCGAAAAGTAAGACTTACGAAGTTACCAGCAGCCGCGACAATTTTACAAGTGGTCCTGTGCAGCCAATCAGAGGCTCGGAACCGCCGCCGCAGTTGAAAGCCTAACACACCATCACTACGATTACAAGCATCGTCCGCAACGGAAGCAGAAAGTGCCCACCGACCACACGCCAACTATAACGAACTTGCACGACCTGCCACCCCGATCACTCGTGACGGTATATTTCATACACGTCACACCGCACGGCACCGTCTCTCGGTTCACACCTCTCAGGGTTAATCGATTTCTAAATGACACTATTAATTATTTAGTGAACGTCCTCGAAGGACAATCGCAGTCGACAATGCACGGCGACCCACGTATCCTCTCGGTGCGACGTCAAACGGTCGTTCGACCAACGGACGGCCCCGGACTCAACGGTCGACCGACAACGGATGAGGCCTGACCCGAAGCCCAGCCGCTACCCGTCCAGCGTGACATGGACTACCGGCAACGGCCAGTGAACACCAGCCCACCCGGAAATACTTCTAGCCATCCGACCGAACGGATCCAGAGGAATTGTTCCAGCACCTTCGACGATCGGACCAACACTACTCGGCCGCAACTCGTCGTCACCAAAACAGCACTTTTCAACGCTCCCAAAATTCCGAGGCACTTAATCAAGTTGATCTACCCGGATTCGGCTCGTCACCGGAGTATTGCTTAATCAAGTCTGTACCGTTGACGGTCAATCCCCAGACCCATAACTGTATATAACGCATGACGCACCCGATATTGTAATATTAGGGCCCGGCTAACACTCACAAAGCACCACTTTTCCAAGTCTGGTCGGAACACGTCGACGGTGTACTAAGCCATTTATAATGTATGTTTATTTATGTATTATACTGAAATAGAGGAATGTAATTACTTATAACTATGTACATTCATATTCTTTCACGATCCGGAACATCACCTCGGACGTTCCGTTTCAAAATCTTATGTTTTATAATAACGTTGCGAAATGTTATGTAATGATTTTCCCAAACGCCAAAATTGAAATACTCTACGGTTTTTTTTTTTATCAAACACAAATTAGTAATGAATAATACATATTATAAATAAATCAAATAATATCTATTAATATAAAAATAAGAATTTGGTTACTTTTCTACATCTAATACTGATGATAGTTTTCTCCGATTGAAACATCATATTATAAGGTTACATTGTTATTCAACATTTTTTCCTTGATTTTGGTATGTTTATTGAATATTGATATTAGCTTATTACCGGATTATTCTTTTGAAATATTTAAAATTCGATAAAATCAAAATGGAAAACGTAATCTAATAATGTAGCAAGACTCATATTTCATTTTCGTTGGAAACACGATAAGATTTCGATTAATTTGTGCTGCTATTTAAATGTAATATTTTTTTTAAATCAAATTTAATTATTTTAAAACATAATATAATACCATACATTTATTATCACTTAAATCCATAATAGACTATATAATCATTTTTTTTTCAACCCACAAGTGCATTATCAAAAAAGGTGATTGTTTCAAATGCTTTAAGACTATATAATTGTATTGTGTAACTACTGTACATGGGTGACAAACATGCAATATTGTTTGTTCGCGTTAAAAATTGTTGAATAATTGACCGAGTGAGATTTTACTATCATTCCTGTTGATTCATTGTCCATAAATGATACCATCAATTAGTGTTCTCCATTGAATTTTTTTCATGGTGTGTTGTATTCGTAACTAACGGCACTGTAGTGTTTGCGTTAATTTATTTGGACTATGATGAAAATTAGTATAGTGAATTTAATAAGCTCAATAAAAAATGAAAAAATGAGTATGCTTTATCGGCACTTTTTTATTAATGCTATCGTTTTGAGTAGCATTCGTTCTTATCGTTTAGTCGGCCCGAGGATAACCTATTAAATATTAATAAATTAACCAATTTAAACATTGATAATAATTTATAAATAATACACTTTGGACACTCATACTCTCGGTATAGTTCCGAAAAGACATTATGATAATTAATTATTAATTAAAAGTGTATATATATTTAATTATGATTAAATAGAAAAATGTTTTATATATAACGGTTTTTCAACTATAATCTACACGTTGATTTACACTTTTGCGTCCGCATTGTGTTTGTATAATTTATCATTGTTTTGATAAAATATAACAAATGAACATTTTGAACTCTTTCATTAATATTTGGAAAATATGCGAGTGAAACAATGCACATATAAAATTATGATCATAGCAATATAAATACAAAAATATTATTCAATAACGTATTACATTTCATTTAAATCGAAATAGTGGTAATTAAATATGAATACAGTGTGTATAGGTAACTTATTTTTATAGTAATAGTGTGTCATTTAATTGAAAAAAATAAAGTATGAAAAATAGAAAAAACTTGAATGTGTACTTAATTTTAAATTTACGAAATATATTGTATCGAAGCTTTGGTGAAATAGCATTTTGATACAAATTGTTTATAAAAGCAATCATTAAGTGTAATGACTAAACTACGAATTTATCTTTGCCGTTTTCTATTTTCACTACTTTATTATAATAGCGTATTTCCTTAATGGCTTTAAATTAAATTCTCAATTACTTTATAAAATACTTAGTAAATTATTTATTTTACTTTAGTAAATATTTTACTACCACTATTTCAATATTAACATTAATCCAAATATTTAAAGTTCCAATAAATAAAAAAAAATAAAAAAATTAACACAATTCAATAAATAATAATAATGTTATTTATCTATACATATGTGTATCAATATAATACAATGCGAATCATGATATCTTAAAGCATTTTAATTGATTACTATTTTCAAAATTTCCTTATTTGAAACAATTCATAATTTATTTTTATTTTTCAAATACTTTTGAACATATTTAACTTGATAAAATCTGAACAAAACTAAAAGTACAATTAATTATCAAAACTATTTGAAACAAAACTAAACTCGAATTAAAATGTTAAAAACTGGCTTTTTATAATATGCATTAATGCACTAATAATAGTAAATTAAAATATTTTTAATGTTAAATTTATTTTTTTGAATAAAATAATATGAAATTCTGGACCTTATTTTTCAATGTGTCAATTTTGATGCTTAACTTTATTTTATATGAAAGTAATAACATTATCCAATAATTACGAGAGAATAAAAACCAACGATTGTGGAATTATCTTCAAAAGTGATATATAATAGATTTGATATAAAATACTTTAATATTAAAATTTGTAACATGATTTTTGAAATTCTAATTTATTTTTTAACCATAATATTAAATATATGAACAGTTTTAATGAAATATGTTAATAAATTAATTCTAGTATTTAATATTACAATTTTTCTTTTATTATTGTATTTTATAATTTTTTTACTTTTTTTATTATTTTTTTATGATTAGGTGTATTAAATAATTTCTACTTTTACTTATTTTATGGTTTTCGGTTGAAATTAGCTGTCGAAAATTCACAGAACTAATCGTTGTATTAATACTTTCTTACATAACAAGTTCCTGCATTCGATATTATACGGTACAATGAGTCTTGTCATTATGTTCCTGTTAAACCATCCTCAATGATGTACGTAATTACAGTGCAACCGAACAGTTTTATTTTCAATTATCATATCAATACAATATATCAATTCGAATGTAAGTCGGAAAATAGTTGAAAAAAATAATAATAATAATAAAGATCTACTTTAAATTTTTATGAATGTAATTCGAACAATGGTTAGAGTGCACTGCCGTACATTTAGTTTCAATCAAGTTTACGTAATATGAAGTAATTAACCGTAGAGTAAGTATTGATCCAAGCTGTTTTGTTTATGTTATCGAACATTATTTCCAGTCGGTACATTTTAACCAATAAACGAATCCTAAACCAGTGTACAAAAACATAATATGCATGTACCATGCGTATGGTGTTTAATGCGGTCGGTGCTCGCGTATTATCGAAAAGCCCTTGAAAACTATAGGCGCATTCGGTGCGATGCGTTACCCATCAGTGCGAGTGATCGAACCTCCGTGGGGCGTTTCGTTTTTTTTCTTTTTACAAACATGAAACTGGCGAAACGTGTCGTCATCATAATACATAATACTGTTCGTCGCGTTATAGTAAACGAAATACCGACCATGCATGGGCGCAACTAGAGCCCAAATATTGAGGGTGCTGAAATTGGAGAAAATAAAATAAAATGGTATTCAACTGTAATTAATATAGATTATATAGATGAATTTAGGGGTGCTAAAAACCCTATTGCACCCCCATAGTTGTGCCTATGCGACCGTGTGATTTGTACGCGTTCGTGTATTACGTTTAGAGCGCGCAAGATTTAGAGAAATTTTTTATATTTATTCTATTTTTAGCATACGGCTTTTTCGTTTGACAAAGGGGAATATATAGGGAGGAAGGGGTTGATGATCGTCCACGAAAAACATTCGATCCATATCCCACCCCCAAAGGGTCGTGTTGCGGTGCAATAATTAACAACGTTGTGTGTTCCGCGCAGGTCGTCCTGAACCGAAGATCAGATGGTGGCGTGGAGAAACGCTGATGGACACGGGCAACGAAGGGATTTCGGACCAGCTGTACTCGTACTCGTCGGTCAAGAAGAACCAACTGACCATCGAAGCCCTCGGTCGGTACGACCAAGGGGCCGTGTTCACTTGCCAGGCATCAAATAGCAACCTGTCCGCGCCCGTCAGCGCCAGCGTCACGATTGAAATGTTCCGTGAGTACAGGCGCGCGCCGTTTTTATTTTTATTTACATGGACGGGCAGCAGCTACGTATACACTGTGCAATAGTTCATATCATAACAATATTAATTTATTATAAAATTATATTCTCTCGAATTGTTGTTTGACTTTTTTTTAAAAAAAAAAAAAAAAAAAGTCGATAAATGTTCATTGTGCCGCATTTAACGTGGATCGCTGACTATTGTTTTTGTTAAACCTCCATGGATAGATATATTAAAATTTTAAATATCACGAATTTTTCACTTTTGACCGACTCCATTTTAAACTCTTTACAACGTTTTTGTGCAACCACGAGTGAGTGACAACAAACTGTGCACCGATATAAACTGTACGTTTAAAAAAAGACACGTATTAATTCACCGGCATAAGAATGAACCTGATTTAAATCGACTAATCCAAATGAAAAAATTATTTTCTTATACCCGTTCAATTATGGGGCGTTTAATTTGGTGCACGCTTAATTGTCCACGCTCAAATGTCCCGCGTTCAGTTTTCAGCCGCTCAATACTTTCGGGACACTGCAATCCGACATTACAAAACGAGTATTAGCTATGGCACACGTCACGGATAATTATTAATTCCACTAATACTTAATATGTCATATTATTATCTGTAGAACGTTATAAAATAACGTGCAACGTTTTCTTGACATTTTATCGAGTCATCTGGTTTTGAGCTTCAAGAGTGTTACGTTTTAAAAAGCGACGCGGGTCACGTGTAGTTTCCCATATCCCCCTCCCCTCATTTAAACCGTTTTGTTGTCGACGACATTTTGCCACTAATACCAACACTACTACATCCCAGGAGCTAGATAGCATATTATGACGAGATTTACCGACCACTTTTGAGCTCGACATCACATCCGTGATCCGTTTCAGCTCGACAATCCCGTGCCAATGTGATGGTTTTCGGCGTGTTGTATCCATTACTTCGCACTTTACTACGTAATACATGGCCACATGGCCATTCGAGAACCGTTGAAATATATTATTACGTAGCAGCGCGACGCGTCTTTATAGGTCTCAAACGAAATTTTACTTCCGAACTACATTGTCTTATACCGTCTATCCGGTACGTTTTTCCTTCGTACATCCATTGTGCAATTTCACTAAAGTCAATTTCACCGCGGTGAGAAATAGACTGTATTTTATAAAATATAAAACATCATGTTATTCTCTTTAACGTGAAGTATATCAAACTTCGGTCGAATCAGCACTTAATTAACCGGACAATTAGACATTATAATCAGAGTCGGCTCTTTTTATTATGTGGTTTTAATGTTGCCAGGAAAGTATTGAAAACATAAATAATTTCAAAACAAACGAAATACAATATGATTATTTACCAGAACCCTTTCCAGTGAGTAAAATTGCATATTGCCGTATCATAATACAGTAAAAATAAAATATAGTGTATTTTACAATACATCTAGTTTCATCGATAATTATGATAAGTATTATTAATATTTTATTTACTTTGCATACTGAAACATTACGATTAAATTGTTCCCAGTAAACCCTCATCAAAAATCTACAGTACTATTGAATTCCGTTCTTCTCATTGTACGTTACACTAGAAACAATATCCTATAGACTGACAGTTGGTGGGGCTAAAGGCCATTGTTGCGTCCCGGAATCATTGTTGTCGTCAAGGAATCAGATGCTGAAAGTTTTTTTTTCTTGTAAATAAAGTTATAAAACCCTGTTGTATTTAATTGGCTGTAGCACGATCAACGGCCTATAATTAAATTCTTTACATCAAAAATTATCTAATATTCTTTAAAATCAACTTTACTCTTCTACTTCGGCAAAAAAAAAAAAAAATTTAGGCCCCAGATTTATAACAAAATAAGCAAAACAAATTTGAAATAAAGAAGAATATTGTTATTTATCAAATAAACTTGTAATATTATATTATTTTTGCGAACATTTACCACTGAAAAAACGTTGTAAAAATATTATTTTATTTTTATTACATTATTTTTTTACTATTAACGTGTTTTCCACTACTGAAAAAAAAATTGTCAAACACGATTAAAATATTATGAAACATTTCTTGATTAAAATAAAGTAATCTTATTAAAAACAAATTAAGCATTTTAAATTGAGAAAATACTGTTGTATTGTCTAGTCTAATAATAAAATATTGTTTACATACCAGTCATTAGGTTTTTTTTTTTTTAGATTTATAGAAAATGAGGCATTAATTCCTGTTTGAGTTATTTAAGAAATCATTAAAATGATTACTTTTCCAGTGTTTCAGTTAAATATCAAAAAAGTTTCAGTTTAACCTAGTAAAGATCAAACACTGTTAATTTTTGAGGGATTTTTAAACAAAGAAGAACTTCTAAGTTTCTAAGTTCCTAAGATGGCAAAAAGAATATATATATATGTGTGTGTGTGTGTGTGTGTGTGTGTGTGTGTGTGTATGTGTGTAATTGCTTATAGGCGATAATGTATAAGAAATTCAACTTTTGATCACGATCAAAAACAGCAGCAACCAAATAAATCCAATTAAAAGAAAACAATTAAATATGCCCACCTACACTATATTATACATACTAATGTATTTTGATTAAAATAAATAGATTTATAGTAATTTAAACTAATATTATTATTTATAATATTTTTTTTAATATTTTAACACTCAAGAAAAATCATTCTAATTGGATTAACTTCAATGGTTGTACATTTTAAGAACACATTAATAGAACTTCATTTAACCATTCATATTGAAGTAATGTGGCATCATACTGACATATGAAAATGCCTTACTTATGGTTTTTCGATTATCAAACCACGCCAATATTTCGTAATTAATTAAACAAAATTAAACGATATCTTTTATTCTGTTTTCGCTTCCACAACTTTTAGGCATATTATACCAGAAATAACATAAATGATTCTATCACTATAGAACCATTCTCGTCGCTCACAGGAATATTTAGATTAATTACTAAGATTAGCTACAACGGACTTGACACGACCCTTTTACTGATTCCACCGTACAGCGTTACTTTTTCGAAGAACGCAGAAATCCCACACGTTAACATTTACTTCAAAAACTTTACGTTTGGTGACCGCCATAGTTATTGGTATCGTGCGCGAAACAAAGTTCTCCGGAACTTTTGTATCATACATTGTAAAAAACAAAACAAAAAAAAAAAAAAAATAACTAATTACGAAAAGACTTGCTTTTATGTTTATGTCTAATTGTATGTTGTTTACAGTATACGACTAACGATTATGATGGTGTAATGATATTATTCGAATCTCGCTTTATATCGTGAGAGCTGAGCAGTACTATATATCATAATTCCATTTATACGAAGTTTGAATACATATTGAATAGTTTTAATTAGATGGTAGTGTTTTAAATGTTGAATTCTATAACAAAACAACTATAATGTAATATAATAATATAGAATGCAGTAGTTGACTGCTCAAAAATATTGAAATTATTATATAAATAAAGCAATTAGATACGTAATAAGTCTGTAAAAAACACTTCTGATGTCAGTACTATATTCATTGAGTACTAAAAACCAGAAGCATATTTCTGTATTAAAATAAACCTCATGCCAAGATATTAGATTAAACCGTATTATCATTGTTGCATTCAAATGGGTGCATTATACGTTTGAAACCGTATATTTGAACTGTAGTTTTATACATATATATATAAACACACTTGCATATTATTACAAATACGGTTAGTTCTGAATACCAACAAAAATATAAAATTATTTATTCAAATTATTTTATTTTCAATCTGTGAACAAAATTATATATATATATATATATATGGTTATCAATGGTTATATGAAATCATGTTAAATATTATTAGTGATCAAAACCATCATCCTGCTTATTTATAAATTTTCCACGATCAGTTTATAACTATTCGGGTTTAGTAATATATTTAACATTCAATTTTAATACAAATATTTTATTAACATTTATTTATTCATTGTTTATTATATACAAATAATTTACATCACATACTCGTATAAAGTAAAATGTATATGTGTACACTTACAATATATATATATATATGCGTACATCATGTAGTATCCGTTTTATTTAATTTTTTGGCAGTTTAATTATGAGAATTATACATTACTTGAGCCAGTGAACTCGAATGCCAGACAAAATAATAACATATATGTACGCTATCAAAGGACTTATCAACACATTTGAATCCATTAAAAATTCTAACAACGGGTAACCATATATTTTAATATCCACCAATTGCACCACACAAATGTCTTAATCTGGTATATTGTTGTGTCCTTTAAAATGTATAAACAAACAATATTTTTTTAAAAGCAATATGCTATTAAATACAAAACAACCGTGAATCACATAAAATACCTTCTTATTGATAAATAAAGCAGTGGTAAGTGCTGAAAATTTCGTAAGGACCAGTGGTCATTATATCGGATAAATTGTGATAATAATGTCAAATTGGCAAATTATCACCCAGTGTATTACTAAGTCTATTATATATTTAACAGTCATATTAACAGAGGTGTCATCTAAAATGATGACGTTATGAATTATAACTTATTTCTACGGTACAAAGACATGTTTCATAAAAATACCGTACGTCATATTATAGAATTATTACCAATTAAAAATATTGAAATATATCTTTGAAAAACAATGATATCATAACAAAATTTAAATGGTCTATATACTGGGTGTTAAATTTTTCTCTTGATTCCCTCATTTCGTTAAATTATTGTTAAAATTGAATTTTGGGTGAATTTAACGATTGAAGAGTTTAGCACAAATAGTAACACGTCTTTATGATTATAGTAATATTACAATAGAACCCCATCTAATCCGTCACCTTCGGGACTAGGGGTGTGGTCGGAACGCGAAAAAGATCGGATTATCAGAATATAAAGAAACAATTGAAGACAAAATGTTACCAAATTTATTTATTAAATTATTTTAAATATTATTTTTG